CAGACAACCTCTCGTCAATATGCGTTTTTTGCATTGCATTACTGCAAAAAACGCATAAAAATGAATTTTTGCCAATATGTTTTAGTGACAGTACAAACCCTAGTAGCTCCAGGTATGCCGAGAAGAAATTGTGTCGCACTTTTTTTGGTTTAGCTTGAGTGGTGGTAACCAATGTCAATCTGTCCAACTGGTGGTAATGCAATAAAGATCAGGTGCTATGCTCAAAACGTGGGGAACTCGAAATGCCTACTATTATTTTAGTTTTTTTTGGGGAAATATATGAATACAACAAAGGTAGCGGCACTAAGCAGTCAGGTTCTCGCGTCAAATGTTGGGCATACGGGATGTCATTTGAAGAAGCAAGAAAGTAAAATCCACTGAAAAAAAAATCCACGCGGTAAATCTACCCTGTAGATAGTCGTTTGAACGTTGTTTATCAGTAAATGGACCTGTGAGAAAAGCCTCCAAAAACATTGAGAAGGAGGTGGGCATTAATTAAAAGGAAGATATGCATCTCGGGGTCGAAGGGTGAGGCAAAATTTGGCGTGTAGAAGCATCCTAAGAACAAAATTAACATGGGACACCCACATTGATTGCCTAGTCTCAACTTTAGTATTTTTATTGTGTTTGACTGTTATTCTAGTCACTGGCGCTGCTACCGTGCTTTTAAACTAGTCTGCTAGGGCGGCCCGGAGATTAATCGTAGTAATTAATGATTGGAGCCTTTTAGGGGCTACAGTGCTTTCATGATTTTTTTTCGAACAGGTAAATTGATACTACTACAGCCATCATGGCAAACAGCCTTCATCTGGCCTTTTTGTTATAGTTTTTAGAAGAGAGCGCCCTGGACAAACTTTTTTGCATCTGGTTGATATGAAACAAAAGTCAAAACAAAGTCCCCGTATTTGCTTTTTTTTTGGCTTGGAAGGCATTCGGGAATTAGCCCGAAATCAGTAGAGGTAACAGGAGCTACCCACTGACGAGGCTATCGATAGCACTCTTTCGAGGGTTGCTTGGAAGCAAGATGATGATGGTTAATTTGTTTGCTGGAAATGTATCATTGTATCATCGAAACGAATGAACAAATCGTAGAGGGGCATTGGTTGTTGTATCATCGGCAGAGTGAAATCCTTTCAGTCTACTGCACCACAGCAGTGCTACTACACTAATCTAACACTACGTGCTCCGAGGACATTCGACTTTTAGGTACTGCTAAAGTTCCCTCCGTAAAATTTGCATTCTTGCAGCATAAATTATATTATGTGCTGGATAATTGTGCAATACTGTTTGAACTGGATGTACGAAAATTCATTGGAATGAAAAGTAATATAAGTAAAGTGGACTGGTGCGCATCAGTTGTTGGCTCCACCAAGGGACCTTTCTTGCTTATGCAAGAAGGAGGGTATGTATTTTCGTCTGAATCATGAATCATTATTATCAGCATGATTGAGGCTAATACAAATGGTGCTAAGGCTGAGGAAGGAATAGATGAAGAGAAGTGGCAAGAGGAACGACAGAGATGATAGACTAACTGCAGTGATGAAGATGATTAAGCTGTTTGTTGGTGCCTGGTTCCGGAAAGATGCAAAACGAGAATAGACTTGAATTGCGTCAAGCGCAAAAAAAAGAGCGAAATCGACTAATTTTGTTGATTTTTTGTTTTGGTGTATTGAGACTGAGCTGCTCGATCTATTTACTGCTTGTGCCAGTAAATTAGTTGATATGTGCAGCGAGCTTAAAGTAAAACTTTATTAGGATAAATAAAACTTTATCAGGACTTGGTTAATTTCTTAGGTTCTTATTTAAATCATTTTGGAAATGTCAATTTTGCGCAAAAAATTTAGTATAGTGCAGCGTTTTGCATTCACATAAACACTTAACTGACACGAATTGATAAAACAATTTTATTACAGCTCATTGTTTGTTCAAGCAGAACATGATTCAGCTACGTCTAGTTGGACTGAACTGCTCAAACATCAGATGGAATGTACTGGACACCGCCTCGAAGACTGTAAACTTACTCCCGATGATGTACCTGTTATTGTTGACAAGTAAGTTGCACTGCAAGCATATAAAAAGTTAGGTGCGTTGGGAATTAGCACTGTTGTCACGCAATAGGTCGATATTTTAATTCTCTAAATGGAATAGCGAATCCGTCCATGATTCATTGGTACTAACATATACCAGAGAGTCCAACCTACCATCAGCTTGCTTACAAGCAACCCTCAAAAAAGCGGCAACCTCACCAGCGGGTAGTTGCTGCGGGTACTGCTACGACTCAAACTGTTTCCTGAATGCCTTTGCTGCTCAACGAGAGCGAATGTGAAAGAAGTTTTTACTCTGAAAAGGTAATTTTATTTATTATGGGAGAAATTTTTCCATCCTCAAGACTGATTCGAGCGTCGGCGTTCGGCTATTTTTGATGAATGTGTGGTCCTGTGGTTTTTTTTTTTTTTTTTTTTAAGTGATAATCGCTGTTTTTTACAGATGTGTAAAATTCATTTCTACATATGGTTTATTTCAACCAGGTTTGTATCGTCGAAATGGCTCAACGCTCGAAGTTCGCTCACTGCTTACTCAGTTCAGGAAAGGTAAAATTTCAACCGATCTTTTTGGACAACTGTTTTATCCGATTTTTATTTCATCGTTGCGTTCCTTCTCGTCATCGTTGCACCAGCAACTGCTTTTGTTTTTAAGAACGTTATGGTTTAACAATTATGTTTCTATGAAAAGTTTGATATTGTAAGAAATTTTCCGGTATTCTAAGAATGTCCCTGCAAAGAATTTGGAGAAATGTGGTGTATATAGCACCTGCCTTGGGAATTATGAAGAAAGTAAGGATGTAAGGTCAGTGAAGATGCAGTTTACGTTAGCGAAATAGATGAACACGTAGGTAAGAAAAACTACTTTTCATTCGGTAGTTTAAAAACAGGAGGATAATTAGTTCAAGTAGGGATGGGAAAGCAAAAACCACGATCGTCAGTGAATGGGCCGTCGGTTGATGAATTTTCGGTTGCAGAAGCTATGAATAGGTTGCCAGTTGCGCAGTAGTGCCAAAGTGCGGTTAAACAGCAGACGATCGTAATAACATTTGTGCTGTTTTAGATGCAATAAACGTACATATAGTGCCGGAATCGGATGATATAGTAAATGTTGTGGCGGACGTTCTGCGATCATTCTTCCGGCAACTCGATTCGCCCCTTATCCCTCATCACATCCAGGAACGATTGTTCGCCGTTGCGGATATGAAGCGTATCTCTTTGTTAATCTATTTGTACTATTTATAGCATTTTCAGTGAGAGTTTTTTTTTGAGCTTAGATTTTCATGTTTCTCATGTGCGAATAGTTAGCGTCCGTGGGAAGAGGGTTTTCTGCGTCGAACAACTGCTTTTTTTGCAAGAAATAAAGAAATTTGCGACTTTTCAGTAAAAAAGAATTGCCATGTTTATAGCGGAAGAGTGTTGAAGAACATCTGGGTCTTAATTATAGGGAAAAGTTTTCAAAAATCCTAATCCCCTTCCTGGTAAGCATATCCGTGGCCGTTAATTCTGCAGCTTTCTTTGTAAAATCAAAAGCCCTGATCCCTTTTGTATTCGTTCTTGATTGGAGGCGAGGGAACTGGGAAGATAACTTTATCAGTATAAAATTCCAGCAGCAACCATCTGCTGATACGGTGGCTCCTTCTTTCGAGGGTTGCTTACAAGCAGTCTGACGGCAGTTTTGATGTCCTAATATATGCCAACACCAATTTATCATCGAAACGAATGTGAGAATCGTAAAGAGATTTTGTGAAATATGAAAGCATTTTCAGATACGAGTAGGCTGGAAGAATATCATGAAATCCTAATGGGCTTGCCACGAATCCGCTTGCAAACACTGCGACGAGTATTGGATCATTTGAAAGATGTTACTGAACATGCATATGCAAATTTAGCAACCGTTGAAAATGTTGCCAAAGTTTTTGGACCGACACTATTTTCTGTTGAACAGGTATGTATATCGCTCCTGTACTGCGGTTTCTAAGGTAAGATGTAGGTGAAAAAATATTCATCTGACGTTGCTTGGACATTGGAGGTGGAGGGGGGGGGGAGAGGGTGAAGGGGAGGACAGAGAATTGTAAATTAGGAATAGAGTTGGAAAATTATGCTTATTGGTTGCCCTGATTTGTGTAAAAAGCACGTGGCAAGGGACCGTAGGTGTTATATTTAGCATATTTACACTAAGAATTTTACAGTGAAAAGTAGTGCTGCTGCTGCTGTACAGTAAATCGAGGGTTCGATCCTGCTGGTGGGACAATCTGTGAGGGATTCATCTACGATTTGTTCATTCGTTGCGATGGTAAATTGGTACTGCCACATGCGAGGAGGACAGATCCACCATCACCTTGCTAGCAAGGTACCCTGGAAAGAGAGATTCATCGATTGCCTTTGCCAGTGGTCTGTTTTCCGAGTGCCTCCGCTTCATAGAGAGAGAATACGAAGAGGGTTTTGACTTTAACTTGATCCTGAACTTTTAAATGACATGGTTTGCTTCGAGATTCGTGGCCATTGCAAAAGATGAAAATAGTCACTGAATCATCACGAAGATTGCAAAAGACGGTGCATTTTTATTTTCCATTACCATGAAATTTTTTCATTTTTACGTAAAATTTCGTCACCAGTTATAATCTTTATGTAAGCGGTTTGTCATTTTTCCAGACTTTTTTTGCTCTCAAAACAGTGCTCATGCAGTAAGTGAAAATTAAGGATCCACGAGCAAGCCAGGTGCATAGTGGATTCGCATACACTGTACAGCAAGTGAATTTGGTTAAGGATCTGCTTACTTATTACGCGTCCATATTTCACATCTCGGCTCGAGAAATGAGCATCAAATCGAAAATGAACATGCTACAGGAAAATCCTAAAAAAGTCAAGGTAGTTCTGCATTTGATTTTTTTTCCCCCTTCAGTGGCTTTATTGTTTATTTATCTTTTGAGATCTGCTGGACCGAAACATTCCTCTTCGGATACTTTTCTCCATGGATTTTTCTAGATAATTTTTTTTCCTATAAGTTATTTAATACTTTCTCTTTGACACTCCCTGCACTTGTTTAATTTGAACTTCCTTAGTTTTTTCTACTTTTGCTTTTTTTATCTCAAATGTTCTTTATTATTTACCTAATCTAAATCTTGTCATGGAAGTCGTGCGAAAAGCCGGCAAAAATTGATAAAAAAATAAAAGGAAGTGCGCTGCATATGAAAGCAGCATAAGAAGCGAGTGGCATGCATAAAGATATGAATGCTCCGATATCTGAATTAAGCACGAGGGCCTGACAGTGTAATGGAAAACACGTAACGATTCGAAGAATCTGAAAAGAGTGAGAATTACTCATTTCTATTACATAATGCTTTGCAGAAAGAAGTTCCTTTTTCAGCACATCTTATGCCTCACTATTTATTTTTGCTTAACTGGCTTTATTTTTTACTAAAAATTCATTCTTCCGCAAATTTTTGAATCTAAACATATTTTTAGGTTCGAGCGGATGGTTTTCTTGTCCCTGTACATATCCTAGAAAAAGATAATCACACGTTTAATGTGCAGTCATCCTCTACGGCGGAACAGGTAAAAGCGTTCATCCGGTCTAATCACCCTTCCCTGTGTCTTCCTACTTCCAGTGAGATGGAATGCGGAAAGAGTTTTGACTTTGACGATGAATTATGTAAAAGCACATTTTAGGTTTTTTAATTTTGTTGCTATAGAACTAGCGTAAAAAGAATGTTTCTTATTTCTAGAGTCCTTAAACAGCAAAAAATTTCATTTAATAGTGGATGGAAATCTGATTGGCCGCATTTTGGAGTGTTTTTTGTTTCGTACAGGGCATATCGGTGAATTTATTAGTGATGAGATCTTTTTTCTCTAAACCAGATTTCGCTCTTGTATTTTATATTCGTTTAAGGTATGTGAAGCGGCGCGAAGCAGGCCTGCTGTGCGCAGCGAAAGTGATATCAGTAATTTCGCATTGTTTGAAGTAAGTTACGAGTTGACTTCTCTTTCTCAAAAAATTTTTTCGATTTGTAGCCGAGAATTTTGACAGAACTAGTGTGATTGTGCTAGACATGTGGAAGCATCCTAGTAACATCACTAACATGGAATACCAAATTGATAGCCCATGGGGGTGGTAGTCTTTGTAGCTTTTGCACGTAAGAATCTATACGGTGTTTCCAAAAATGCCTGTGTTGTAGAATAACGAGAAGTTTTTCTAGCTTCTTTTCCTGTTCATCTTTTTTTTCTGTTTATTGAGAAATGCTTTAGCTTTCTGTGATTTTTTCGCGGCAACCGCAGAAAATCCATCATTTGTAGGACAAGCTAGAAACGACACCGCACAAACTCTGGTCACTTTTTGAGCATTTTGGGGTATCCGCATTGAATTTCGAAAAGCGTGCTGTTATTCATATTTTATTCCAGGAGATCAAGTGTGGTCAGCTAGAAAGGCGAGTAAATGCGCTGGAAAAGATGAGTTCGATGGTGACCGGACGATGGCTTGATTGGGAGCCCACCGAGTGCTATTTGTTATTCAAGCGTGACCCCGCACCATTTTCATATCGGGTTTGCTTTTCCTTTCACTTCCAATGCATATTGTTTGGGCCTTTCAATGGCACCAATAATTTGACGCAGTTTTTTTCCAGTAGGAAAGCGAGAAAGCAGTTTTACTTTATTGTTCGCAAGAAAACTTATCCGCCGGGATTGGTACTTTAACATTTCGCTTGGCTATTTTGACTGTGATGTGCGACTTCTTGGCTTTCTAAAAAAGACTAAAACCCGAATTTTTGATGGAATTGCAAATGCAAAAAAATTGGATTTTTTTTTCTCCGGATAAAATGAAACATCAATTCGGATAAAATTTATGATCCTTTTAGACGAAAACGCGAATGGGCGTCTGGTTTTGTTTTACGACTGTAAGCACAGACAGAGTTCTGGGTTCCATTAGGAGTGGAAATCATCAGTACATTCAATCGAGACTGGAGTGATGGGACTTTTAAGAAGGAAGCAGAAACAGGATGAGGAGGGAATAGGAGAAGAAATGGGAAAATTTGAGTATTTCCTTTTCAAACTATTAATATGGGTGTTACTTGCTTTTCAGTTGATTACTTCTTTCATAAAATGTGTTAGAATTTACAGGGGAAAAACAATATGAGGCTGTTTTCAAAAGCACTTGTTTCGACATTTCCTTTTGCGCAAATAACAGTATTCGTCACAGAGTTCGACAAAGCGCTTGCACTGCTGTTCTGTTGCATTAGTTAACAGAACTGTGCAAAGATTCGTAACTTTTGTGAAAATACTAGTGTTTTTGCCGTTTTTCGTTTCAGTTATTGTATCCTTTTGCGAATGATGTCCGAATAGCGGAGCCGGGTACAAAGTCATTCAACGTTGGCCATTTAAAATTGGAGGGTGGACTGATCACTTATTACAATAAGGTACCAACTGATCGTTATTTTCGCGCTAAATATTCAAATGAATGTCTTTTACTGCCTCATAATTCTACAATTTCTTCCGTTATATTTCTGCATGTGTTTTTTTTTTTTTTTTTTAAATTCTCTTTTGCATAAAATCGACTAGTCATTTAAGTAATTACTTGCCACTGACTGTAATGAAGTTTGAATGATAATGATGATTTTGATGGTAGTGATAGTGGGCAGGTTTGTTAACCAAATTCATTTTATGTATTATGCGTTTCAACTCTCAGTATTTCCAATTTAGCTCATTTTTGGCTAATATCTACTCATTGAATAGCGATTATAATTCCTCTTAAATCTTCTAAGTAACTTTATTTTATATTATTGGATTGGAAATGGTTAATTATAGGACATAATAGTGAAATTTCAGTTCAGGAAAAGAAAATTCAATTTATATCAAGTATAAATTGTTTTTTTTACCATTTTTTTTATTTCATTTATCAGGTTTTTTTTTTCATTTCAGAGTTGGAAATCAGGTTTTTTTTTTTATTTCATTCAATATTCAGAGTTAAAGGTTATGGCTTGTCGCGGAACTGGCTTTTGTATTTTGTGATGTGAACGGATAAATAATAAAATGAAATATATTTCATCGATATTTCATGTCTGAAACTTCTCTGATGAATAATCGAGCCTCTGAATTTCATTTGTTTGATTCGTCAGATTTGGCTAGTACCTGACCAGTGAACTTGAGCTTCAGCTGGCTTTAGCTTGCTTCTGAAGTCTAGTCTGCAAGATGGAACCGTCCACAGCTTTTGCTAGCGCGGAAATGGCTTTGATATGAGATCAGTAACCGAATTAGCTAGCCATTTTTCCTTCGCCGTATTCGAAAGAGATACCAATGTGATTGCGATTTCTTGCAGGCACTGAAGAAGTTGAGTGAATGGAATACAGATGATATCCTATTGTATGTGGGTCATGAAGCTGCCCGTAAACCACCATTTCTACATACTCTCACATTCTTCTTGCCAAAACTTGCAAGTTTTAAGTACAAATCCAAATATTTGGGTTATTGTGTTGCTTTTCGCGAGAATACGCAACGAACACAATGGCTAAATGCAGTGATCAGTTCGCAGCACGATTTTCAGGATACCTCTGCGTCACTGGTGCAAATATGATGATATGTCATCTTAAAAAGAAAGTAATCCGTTAGATTTTTATATTTTGAGACACAAGGTATCTTTAAGATTATTGAATTCTAGGTCTGGTTGTTAGCATTGTAAAAGATGTGAGTTTGTCTCATCTTGAATTCCTGTGTTTTTGATAATTTTAAGGTGCTATGCTCTTCTCATTTTATATTCCCTTCTATTTTTCATTTTAAATTTCTTTGCTGTACTGTTGTTATGTTTTGAATTCTTGTACTGATCCATGGCGGTTTTCTGGGACGGAGTCGGGGGAGGCGACTTGGGCGATTTTGTCCTTTGTCGCGGAAAACCCGTGAAAAGTCGGCAAAAAAAGTTAACCACAGAAAAAGTATATACTGCCCATGGGAAAGCATCTGAGAAAAATAAAGGCATACGCACTTGATCGGTTTTTATCCAGATCGTTACTTTTTATGTTGGTTTTTCATTATCGAGCCAGTTTTCAGGCATTTGCTCCCCTTACCGATTGCTGTATTTTTTTCCCTTTTGAAAGCGTTTACCATAATCAAAGTGACGTGTACGTATATGTCATCGTGCCGCCGGATTGTTGCAAGTGCCGTAAATTGCAATAAAACACGGTAAAATCAGTGTTGGTTTTGGAAAGTTAAGAAAAAAGAAGGTTCTTTCTCTAAACTGAGATGTTACTTTTTATGCGTTTTTTGCAGCAATGCAATGCAAAAAATTGGCCAACGCACGGGCTGCCCGTGCGA